GGCTGGGATGGTAGCTCAGTGGTAGAGCGCTTGCCTTGCATGCCTGAGGCCCTGGGTTCGATTCCTCAGCACCACATAAGCAAAAAGAAAAAAGCCCGAAGTGGCGCTGTAGCTCAAGTGGTAGAGCACTAGCCTTGAGCTGGGGGATAGCGCCCAGGCCCAGAGTTCAGTCCCCAGGACCGGACCAAAAAAAAAAAAAACTGTAAGAGAAAAACTATATCACTATGTGCAGAAGAGGTAACATATAAAATTTTTAATTCCTAGCCAGTTTAAAGTATTAGAATATGTCTTAAACTAAGTGGTTTCAGAAATTAGAAACAAGTATACAACACTGGAAACATGGACATAAAAGTCAAGAACAAAACAAGAAGCAACACTATTATATTTAGAAGCTCTGGAGGTCCTAATCAATGTGCTGTGCTTTAAAAAGAGTGGGAAACATTTCCAGACCATCTATAAAAAGTTTTTAAATTGTTACAAAACTGCTTATGAGCTGGGCACCAGTGGCCCATGCCTGTAATCCTATTCAGGAGGTTGAGAGCTGAGCTGAGTATCTCAGATCAAAGCCAGCCCAGGCAGAAAAGTCCCTTAGACTCAATAAACTACTCAGAAAATGCCGGAAGTGGCCCTGTGGCTTACGAGGTAGAGCACTAGCCTTGAGCACAAAAAGGCTCAGAAACACCACCTGGGCCCTGAGTTCAAGCCCCAGGACTAGCCAAAAAAAAAAAAAAAAACTGCTCATGGCAAAGATGTACACCAGTAATCGCAGCTCCTTGGAAAGTAGAGATTGTGAAGATTATGGTTCAAAGCCAGCCAAGCAAACTTTAGCAAGACCCCATCTCTGGTGGTGCAAATCTTTCAATCCAGCCACATGATAGGCAGAAGTAGGAGAACTGCAATCCATGGCTGGCTGACATAAATGTGAGACCCTATCAGAAAAATTAACACAAAATAGGTTGGGGGTGTGGCATAGTTGGTAAAGCACCTATCTAACAAAGGCAAGATGCTAAATTCTCCTTCTACGGCCCTCTTCCCCCCAAAAAAAGGAACAAAACCATTTGGACTAATAAGCAGTAACCACATAATCATGCTATTATACATAGCTATCTTCTCCATAAGCTAAGAGCTGCTGTGGTAAGAGCTCATTTCCCCTTAAGTATCACTCTACAAGCTTCAAAGAGCTAACCCTGGAGTGAGTTTGCCCCACCCTCTGGAGTTGTTCCCCTCTCAAAAAGTGCCATAGTCAATGAAGTCTTATTTATCTAGACTTAGTTTCAGCTTCTTAAATTGAGTACTTTCAAAATCCATTCCCAAATGCACCCTTCACTCTTCACAGTACATTCTGATTTATATTGCTTCATTTGTCCTTTTTCAGGCCCAGCAGTACCCATATAGGTTATGCTGCGATTTCAACCTATGACTTCACAAGTATAAGAAAAAAAATCAGAGGGCTGGGAAGGTGGCTCAGTAGGAGAGTGCTTGCCTTGCATGCCTGAGGCCCTGGGTTTGATTCCTAAGCACCACATAAGCAAAAAAAAAAAAAAGCCGGAAGTGGCGCTGTGGCTCAAGTGGTAGAGCGCTAGCCTTGGGCTGAAGGACGGCGCCCAAGCCCAGAGTTCAGGGCCCACGACCGGACCCAAAAAAAAGAAAAAAGAAAAAAATCAGAGCAACTGTAGAACATGACTTCCTGTAGTGAGAGAAATGCAAAAACCCTAAAAGGCATACTTTTCTGAACCAGACCTCACAGTGGAGCAGAGGCTTAGGCTGAGCATTCTGTATCTTTCAAGTTCTGTGATCATCAAATCCCAACTCTACTATTCCACTGAAAGAAAGAAGAGCCTCTTCATTGCGCTCCAGAAAGGTCCCCTGACTCCGAAGTTTAGCTGGAACTGTGAAGTGCCTTCTCCTTATTTGCAGTATGAAAAGTATTATTTAGTTGAGCATTGGTTTATCTCATTTCTTTCAAAAGTCTAAATTGCTGTGTAGGCAACATGATTTCCTTGATATGTATTCCTAGACCACTACTGGTGAAATCTTCAGCTTCCGAAAGTCCTCTATGCCAGAGATGGAGTAAAACCATTTCCCAAGGCCAATCTTACTGCTGCTTCTTTCACCACTCTGCACCATCCATTAGTTCTGATTCTCTGAGAAGCAGATGCCAAAAAGGGATTACCAGTGCCCCTTTATATTAAAGCATCTCCATTCAAACATTCAACTAAGATTGCATCTATATGAATATATAGACTTTTTGTTACTATTCCCTAAACTACTTAAAAAGCACTTGTATTTCAATAGTAATTATTAATACGTGAGATTTTACTAAATGATTACTAGGTTATATGCTATTTTATATAGGGGACTTGAGCATACACTGATTTGGTTATCCACAAAAGTCCTGGAACCAACCTCCTAGTTACCAAAAAAGACTGTATGCACCATACATAAATACATTTATGTTTATGTATGCATACACTATCTCTAGGATTGTATATGCTTTGTGAGGCCCAGAACAAAAGAAAAATGCAAGACCTTGGTTCAAAAAAATTTCAAGATGGTGAGAACAGAAGTCAAGTGTCTGACTCCAGGTATCATATTCAAGAAGCTGACCCTACTTTGGCAATGTACACACAAAAAAA